ATAGACTAGACTATAGACTAGACTATAGACTAGACTATAGACTAGACTATAGACTAGACTATAGACTAGACTATAGACTAGACTATAGACTAGACTATAGACTAGACTATAGACTAGACTATAGACTAGACTATAGACTAGACTATAGACTAGACTATAGACTAGACTATAGACTAGACTATAGACTAGACTATAGACTAGACTATAGACTAGACTATACTAGACTATAGACTAGACTATAGACTAGACTATAGACTAGGCTATAGACTAGACTATAGACTAGACTATAGACTAGACTATAGACTAGACTATAGACTAGACTATAGACTAGACTATAGAGAGACTATAGACTAGACTATAGACTAGACTATAGACTAGATATAGACTAGACTATAGACTAGACTATAGACTAGACTATAGACTAGACTATAGACTAGACTATAGACTAGACTATAGACTAGACTATAGACTAGACTATAGACTAGACTATAGACTAGACTATAGACTAGACTATAGACTAGACTATAGACTAGACTATAGACTAGACTATAGACTAGACTATAGACTAGACTATAGACTAGACTATAGACTAGACTATAGACTAGACTATAGACTAGACTATAGAGAGACTATAGACTAGACTATAGACTAGACTATAGACTAGACTATAGACTAGACTATAGACTAGACTATAGACTAGACTATAGACTAGACTATAGACTAGACTATAGACTAGACTATAGACTAGACTATAGACTAGACTATAGACTAGACTATAGACTAGATATAGACTAGACTATAGACTAGACTATAGACTAGACTATAGACTAGACTATAGACTAGACTATAGATAGACTATAGACTATAGACTAGACTATAGACTAGACTATAGACTAGACTATAGACTTTACTATAGAATAGACTATGGACTAGGCTGTAGGCTAGAACAGGTTCAACCAGTCAATTCCCTGTATGAAATCGACTTCAAGTTTTTACACAGAGCTGACCAATTAACAAAATGTTTAAACTTTGGTTTGGTATTTGTGAAGTAAACTAATGCAGAACAGTTCGTGGAATATTCGTGAATATTTATATATAGTTATTGGAGTTTCCTGTATTTTATTCATCTTAATTGTAAAATATCAAACATTTTTAATTTTAAATAATTCTCTGCATATTAAGCAGTTCATTTTTGTTTGAAATAAGGAAATTAATATCACTTATACGCACCATGTATGAGTAACTATTTACATAAAGCAAAACTTAAACTCTCTCACTTTCTTTTTTTTTCTATCAAACACACATACAACTAACAGTTTTACAAGGAGTTAAAGTATCTGTAATAGAAACTAATTTCTAACTTAATATCTGGTTGATACTTTCTTCTTCGGGTCACACTCATACATATATGCAGTTTTTGCTATGCAGAGAAGAGTTACTTTAGTGTCTCCAAGTAATCTATGTAGAGGGTAGAAAGTAAGCAATCTATGAAATTAAAAAATTAAGATTTTGACAACCGAACTGCTGGGTACCTTTACACTCATACATGTTTAAATATACAAATTAGTGCGCTCATAGAAAAGTTTTAATTAAAATATTTTCTCTAGTAAGCAAACATACATACATATGTATATATGTATAAATGTAAGCAAACAAGTATATTTAAAAGGTAAATAAATACATACACTCTCACATTGCACAGTGGTATAGGAAAAAAAAAGAGGGAAATAATTCGGTAACTTCTAAACGGTTAATCCGATTTTAATGAAATTTGGTGTGCACAAAGAGGAGGTGTTGTCGAGTTTAGGTTTTGAATTTGGACCTTATAGGCCAACCAGGGGCCGGCGGGGGGTCCTCAAATTAGGACACCTCGGCTATGTTAAATTTTTAAAACGATCCTATTTCTTCATTTGAGTTCCGATTTAAAAAAAATTTCGTATATAGAATCTCCTCATCGAGCACTATAAAAAATGTCGTCGTAGCAGTAAATTATCTCTTATAGTTTAGGAGATATTCGCATTTGAATATTAAAATTTTAAAATTTTTACCGTCCTTACTTTAGTTTTTTTGATAATAGCAGGTCCAAATATTTCCGATTTTCGCCATTTTTTTTATTTGCTTAACAACAAGTTTATATACCAAGCAGTGAAAGAATTATGTAAAAATCATGACTGAGTCCAAAGTTATAGGCATTTAAATTTAAAAAATTAAAAAAAGGCGATTTTTTGTCATTTTTTTGGGAAAAAAGTATCTTTTTCTTTTTAAGTTATCTAAAAAGTTTCTAAGAAGATGTATATAGAATTTATACTTTTTGGAAAGCTGACTTTACATAAAATACGATAAATGAAACAAAACCTAAAAATTTTTGATACCGAGGGGACCAGGTCCATCCAAAAAAACCCTATTTTTTATGGAAAATTAAATTTTGAGCAAAAATTCTCAAATCGCATAGTCGATATCAAATTATAGTGACCTGTTTTATATGACCCAATATGTCTTAATCATTTTGTAACGGGTTTCGATAACCCCGCCCCTGGTATGGATATAATAGGCAAAAAACTAAAAATCCCATTTTGGATATTTTTTAAAACTTTTTTGGGAATTCCGGGATTTCTAATAAGAAAATTCGAAATTTTTATTTAATTTTGGATTTTGAGTAAAAAAATCTACCTAACAGTAAAATTTCATCAAAAAATATTCATAAATAAAATTTTTATTGCAAGTTGAAAAATTGTATCTTCGCAAAAACTGAATAAAAACATTTTTTAATTTTTTTTAAAAAAAGTATTCCGCGAATTTTTTAATTTTCCAAAATTATATACAGTTTGAAAAATAGACAAAATTACCTTTCCATTGATATATAACATGCCTACCTAATGTTTTTAAGTGACAAATTAATTAGGGAAAACTCAACATCTTTAGAAAATTTACCTAGCACTATTATTTTCATCCATATATGTAACAAATTTAAGAGTTAACCTTATGGATGAAAATAATAGTGCTAGGCAAATTTTCTAAAAGATGTTGAGTTTTCCCTAATTAATTTGTCACTTAAAAAACATTAGGTAGGCATGTTATATATCAATGGAAAGGTAATTTTGTCTATTTTTCAAAACTGTATATAATTTTTGAAAATTAAAAAATTCGCGGAATACTTTTTTAAAAAAAAATTAAAAAATGTTTTTTATTCAGTTTTTGCGAAGATACAAATTTTCTAATTGCAATAAAAATTTTATTATGAATATTTTTTGATGAAATTTTACAGTTAGGTAGATTTTTTTACTTAAAATCCAAAATTAAATCAAAATTTCGAATTTTCTTATTAGAAATCCCGGAATTCCCAAAAAAGTTTTAAAAAAATCCCAAAAATGGGATTTTTTTAGTTTTTTGCCTATTATATCCATACCAGGGGCGGGGTTATCGAAACCCGTTACAAAATGATTAAGAACATATTGGGTCATATAAAACAGGTCACTATAATTTGATATCGACTATGCGATTTGAGAATTTTTGCTCAAAATTAATTTTCCATAAAAAATAGGGTTTTTTTGGATGGACCTGGTCCCCTCGGTATCAAAAATTTTTAGGTTTTGTTTCATTTATCGTACTTTATGTAAAGTCAGCTTTCCAAAAAGTATAAATTCTATATACATCTTCTTAGAAACTTTTTAGATAACTTAAAAAGAAAAAGATACTTTTTTCCCAAAAAAATGACAAAAAATCGCCTTTTTTTAATTTTTTAAATTAAAATGCCTATAACTTTGGACTCAGTCATGATTTTTACATAATTCTTTCACTGCTTGATATATAAACTTGTTGTTAAGCGAATAAAAAAAAATGGCGAAAATCGGGAATATTTGGACCTGCTATTATCAAAAAAAACTAAAGTAAGGACGGTAAAAATTTTAAAATTTTAATTTTCAAATGCGAATATCTCCTAAACTATAAGAGATAATTTACTGCTATGACAACATTTTTTATAGTGCTCGATGAGGAGATTCTATATACGAAATTTTTTTTAAATCGGAACTCAAATGAAGAAATAGGATCGTTTTAAAAATTTAACATAGCCGAGGTGTCCTAATTTGATGACCCCCCGCCGGGCCCCTGGTTGGCCTATAAGGTCCAAATTCAAAACCTAAACTCGACAACACCTCCTCTTTGTGCACACCAAATTTCATTAAAATCGGATTAACCGTTTAGAAGTTACCGAATTATTTCCCTCTTTTTTTTTTCCTATACCACTGTGCATTGTAGGAGACAGGATATTCTATTACTGTTCTTTCTAAAATATAATTTCAATTTATTTATTTTTTAATTTTTAAATATTTTTATAACAAATTAAATATTCTGCTAAATTCATCATGAGATACGAGTTTAAATAAATATGTACATACATATGTATGTGTGTATGTATCCTTCCATAGTAGTAGTAGTACAAAATTATAATTGCTAAAATACTAATTTTATATTCATTAAGTGTCTCTCCATGTAAACTCACCTTCTTTGGGACCACCTTTTGATAAATCATAGACCTGACGTGGATTAAGCATGTATTGGAATTTACGTAAAATACGATCACCTTGTCGACCACCACTTTTGGGATTAACAAACACCAATAGAGGGCAACTGATTTCATTTGGTGGTGTCATTTGAAAATGTGTAGCCTGTTGATGATGTGTTTGGGATGTAGACGATTTCTGTTTTAGTTTCAGTTTGTATATTTTTTTTGCAAATTCAATTTGAATTTTTTTTTTATATTTACAAGCATTTTTATATATCAAATACATAGACACATAGTTATATATACATATACATGAATACCAAAAATATAATTTGCATTTTATGGGGCAGTTACAAAAGGGAATTTTGGAAATTTAATTTTACAAATTTGATGATAGATGATGAAAATTGATGATCCAAATCATTAGAAAATGATTTAGGGCGACGGTTATTTGGTTAAAATTTATTTATTTTTTTTTTGTAGCACACGGGGTTAAGAAGAGGAATAAACAATAAAATAAATATATTTTAGATTAGCATTATTAAGCAAAAAGCTGGGTTATAGGTATTTTATGTATTTGTGTAAGTATTTATAGGTGGTTGAGTAATGTTTATGTAAAATGAGTTGTCAAAGAACTAAGTGTTGAAATTGAGCGTTTTTAAAGCAAATTCTTTAATATAAATTGGCTATAGTCTCGACTATAGAGTAGACTATAGTCTCGACTATAGAGTGGACTATAGTCAAGACTATAGAGTAGACTATAGTCTCGACAATAGAGTAGACTATAGTCTCGACAATAGAGTAGACTATAGTCTCGGCAATAGAGTAGACTATAGTCTCGACTATAGAGTAGAGTATGATCTTGACTATAGAGCAGACTATAGAGTAGACTATAGTCTTGACTATAGAGTAGACTACAGTATCAACTATAGATTAGACTATAGTTTAAACTATAGAGTAGATTATAGTCTAGACTACAGTCTCGACTGTAGAGTAGACTACAGTCTCGACTATAGAGTGGACTATAGTCTCGACTATAGAGTAGACTATATTCTCGACTATAGAGTAGACTACAGTATCAACTATAGATTAGACTATAGTTTAGACTATAGAGTAGATTATAGTGTAGACTACAGTCTCGACTATAGAGTAGACTATAGTCTAGGCTATAGAATAGACTATAGTAAAAACTGAAGAGTAGACTTTTGTCCCGACTATTGAGTAGAACATAGTCTCGACTATAGAGTAGACTACTGTCACGACTATAGAGTAGACTACAGTATCAACTATAGATTAGACTATACAGTAGATTATAGTCTAGACTACAGTCTCGACTATAGAGTAGACTACAGTCTCGACTATAGAGTAGACTATAGTAAAAACTGAAGAGTAGACTTTTGTCCCGACTATTGAGTTGAACATAGTCTCGACTATAGAGTAGACTACAGTCACGACTATAGAGTAGACTACAGTATCAACTATAGATTAGACTATAGTTTAGACTATACAGTAGATTAGTCTAGACTACAGTCTCGACTATAGAGTAGACTATAGTCAAGACTGTAGAGTAGACTTTTGTCTCGACCATAAGGTAGACTATAGTCTAGGCTATAGAATAGACTATAGTCTAGGTTATAGAATAGGCTATAGTCTAGGCTATAGAATAGACTATAGTCTCGACTATAGAATAGACTATAGTCTCGACTATTGAATAGACTATAGTCTCGACTATAGAAAAGACTATAGTCTCGACTATAGAATAGACTATAGTCTCGACTATATAGTAGACTATAGTCTCGACTATAGAGTAGACTATAGTTTAGACTATAGAGTAGACTATAGTTTAGACTATAGAGCAGACTATAGTTTAGACTATAGAGTAGACTATAGTCTCGACTATAGAGTAGACTGCAGCCTCGACTATAGAGTAGACTGCAGCCTCGACTATAGAGTAGACTATAGTTTAGACTATAGAGTAGACTATAGTTTAGACTATAGTCTAGACTATAGAGTCTCGACTACAGAGTAGACTATAGTCTCGACTATAGAGTAGACTATACACTCGACTATAGAGAAGACTATTGTTTAGACTATAGAGGCTATAGTCTAGACTATAGAGTGGACTATAGAGTAGACTATAGTCTAGACTATAGAGTAGACTATAGTCTCGACTATAGAGTAGACTATAGCCTCGACTATTGAGTAGACTATAGCCTCGACTATTGAGTAGACTATAGCCTCGACTATTGAGTAGACTATAGTCGCGACTATAGAGCAGACTATAGTCTCGACTGTAGAGTAGATTATAGTTTATACTATAGAGTATACTATACTCTTGACTATAGAGTAAACTATAGTCTACTCTATAGTCGAGAGTATAAACTATAGAGTATACTATAGCGAACACTACAGTCTAGACTATAGAGTAGACTATAGTCTCGACTATGGAGTAGACTATAGTCTCGACTATGGAGTAGACTATAGTCTCGACTATGGAGTAGACTACAGGCTCGACTATAGAATAAGCTGTAGTCTTGAATATTGAGTGGACTATAGTCTCGACTGTAGACTAAACTATTTTATAGTCTCAATAAATTCTTCTCAAACAAAAAAACGCTAAATTTCAACACTTTATTTACTTAATTTTTTTTCTGTTGCTGCTGTTGTTATTGTAATGAGTAAATATTTAAGCATTTAAATGTTTATTGAATGAACTTATTTACTTATTTTGTGTAAATTTAAATTTACTTTACTAATCGAAAACAATTTGACATTTTACCTTATTTGCTTGATTAACTGAACGCTGACGATCCAATACCGCCGGACAGATGGCTGTTGGAGGCACAATTAATTCGGCAAATTCACCCAAAGTACATTCTTTCTTTACCGATGAGGCACAACGATTGTGAAGCTGAAAAAGTGAAACACAAACAAGATTAAAAAAGGGAAAGAGAGGGAATTGAATAAAAAAATGTATATAAAGTAAATAATTGTTTAATGATAGACATAGCAGATGATAGCAGGCTCTATTACACATGTATAGCATTAAAAATTATAAGGTTATGTTGAATTAATGGAAATATTTATTTTTTGTTGCTGCAAAGGAATGTGTATCTAAGTATATTGAAAGTGTGTTTAGCTATTCCTTTTTAAATTAATGGTATGATTCTTTTTTTTAGCTTTGAAGTAGGTTTTTTTTTAATTTTCTGTGAAAATAGGAAAACATCTTAACAACACGCGCCGTTAATTTCTAAGAATGTATTGGAAGTTATTTTAAAATGAAATAATTAAAATTAATACATATTTTTTGATTATCAAAGAACTTCAAAAAATTTAATTTTGAAAGGCAATTGGGTGTTTATTAAATGAATAGGAATACAAATATACATACACACATACATATGTATATATATACTTAATAATATTTGTAAATTTAGTAAATTTTACACAATTTTCTATGAAGGACTTTTTACATTTTAAACCTTTTTTAAATTAATTTTACCAGGTGTAAACTATTTTTAGTAAAGTTAGTATGATGGTACGTATTCTCAGTGGACACACAGGATTACGAGCACATCTATACAAAATTGGACGTGCGAATTCAGACGAATGTAGAGCATGTGGAGAGGACAGTGAAACTCTGGAGCACTTTCTTTGCCATTGTCAGGCATTCGTCGAAGTTAGATCCAAGTATCTTGGAAGTGATGTTATTCCAGAAATAACATTCTTAACCAACACCGATTGGAAGATTCTTAGGAATTACGTCCAGGAAACTGAGTTTCTGAACATGGAAAAATAATACATTCAGTGAACAATTTTTTTTTTTTTTTTTTTTTTTTTTTTTTTTTTTTTCTTGAATTGGAGCGCACAACAGGCCCGATAGTGGCCTAGGTGTATTTCTTTGGATTTGATGTAGTATACATCCTCCTATCAACCTACCTACCTACCTACCTAGTAAAGTTTACATTATGTATTAATTAACGAATTTTACAGGTCATAAAGTCTTCCTTAGTTAAGTTTACATGATGTAAAATTCTATTTAGTAAAGTTTAGTTGATATAAACTTTTATTTAATAAATTTTATACTGCGTTTACTCTATTTACTCGAGTTTACTTGATATAAACTTCTATTTACATGATTTTACACGGCACAAAGGCTTCATTCATTAAGTCTACATGTTGTAAAATTCTATTAAGTAAAGTTCACATGATTTAATGTTTTCTTAAGTACATTTTACACGGGGTAAACTCTACTTTAGTTAAGTTTACACGATGTAGAATTATATTTAGTAAAGTTTACATGGTGTCAACTTAAGATTAGTAAATTTTATGTTTTCATCGTTTACACGATGAAAACTTTTTAGGTTGTAAATTTTACATGGTGTAAACTTTAATATTCTTAAGTTTACATGATTAACTTCACAGTACGTAAAGTTTTATTTAGTAAAATTTACATGATGTAATTTTATATTTAGTAAATTTTTTTACACGACGTAAACTATACTTTATTAAAGTTAACATGATGTAAGTTGTTCTTTAGTAAAGATTACATGATGTAAAATACAATTTAGTAATGTTTACATGACGTAAACTTTTATTTACTAAAGTTTACATGATGTAATCTTTTATTTACTAAAGTTTACACGGTGTAAACTTTTATTTACTAAAGTTAACATGATGTAAACTTTTATTTACATAAGTTTACATGATGTAAACTTTTATTTGCTAAATTTTACATGATGTGAATTTTTATTTCTTATCGTTTACATGGTGTAAACTTTCAAGTAGTATAGTTTACATGTTTTAAACTCTTCTTTACTAAAATTTTACATGATGTAAACTTTCCGTTAGTAAAATTTACACGATGTAATCTACAGTTTAGTAATGTTTACATGTCGTAAATTTCTATTTAGTAAAGTTTGTGTGATGTAGACGTTTATTTATTAAAGTTTACATGTGTAAACATTTATTTACTTAAGTTTCCATGGCGTAAACTTTAATATTTTCAATGATGTAATGATGATGTAAACATTAATTTACTTAAGTTTACTTGAAGTCAAATTTTATTCAGACAAATTTACATAATGTAAACAGTAATTTACTTAAATATACATGATGTAAACAATAATTTTCTTAAGTCTACATAAAGTAAACTTTCATGTCGTGTAGTTTACATGATGTAAACTCTTTTTTATTAAAATTTTACATAATGTAAACTTTTATTTGGTAAAATTTACACGATATAATGTTTACATGTCGTAAACTTCTATTTAGTATTTATTATACGATATAAGCTTTTCTTTTGTTAATTTTACATGATGTAAACTTCTACTTAGTAAAGTTTACATAATGTAAAGTTTTCTTTAATCTTGCTTACATGATGTCAAATTGTATTTAATTGTAAATTATTCTTTATTAATGTTTACATAATGTAAAATTTATTTTATTTAAGTTTACATAATGTAAACCTTTTCCTTAGTAAGTTTTACTTGATGTAAACTCTTTTTTTTAGAAGATGTAAACATTTCCCTTAAAGTTCTTGAAATAAATTTAAAGACAAATTTAAATAAAAAACTTATTTACTCAACTTAACATTAATAGATTATAATAGTTTCCCTGATGCTGAAGCGTTATTTTACTAAAGTATTTCCTTTTCTCTCTTGTTTGTCTAACAATATAAACAACTAACAACATAAAGAGTAGACAAAAAAAGCATCAAAAACAATTTAAGTTAAATATAGCTAAAAAAAGAAAGAAACCTTTCTTTTTAAAAAACTAAACAAAAAAAAAATTTAATAAAAAATGACAACAGTTACGCAAAGAAAACGTCTCAAAGATAGGGAGAGAGTAAGAAGAAAACTACTGAAGTAGGAACATTGTATTTATTACTAAGTTTCTTTATATAGAGATAGAAAAATAAATTTGGTAAAATTTTATTTAGTAAAAAGTAACTTGGCTGGTGGTATTATACTTACAGCTGACAAAACATAAAAAAAGGTTACAAACAAAACTGCTTGATACCTTTAAAACTCATACATACATACTTACATGTGTATGTATAAGAGTTCTTAATACAAGTCAAGTTAAGACAAGACAGCCAAAAACCAGATTGTTACAAAAATTGCACACTTAAGACTTGTTACAAAAACAAATACGTGACAATTTTCAATTGTCAAGTTAAGCGGAAATAAAAATAATATAAAAATCTGCTACAATAAACTGATTTGTCGTCCTGTACAAAGTCAAAGCCACAAAGTCAATAGGAAATGAATGTGTTTAATAATGATAATAAGAGAAAATGAGACAATTTATTTCTAAGACAATTTCAGTTTCAGGTGACTGCATTGTAAGTTAACAACTTACTGTCATTGACTAACTATTTTTAGTTTAAAGGGGTTTGCTGTAATCTTGGAGTGATATTGAAGTTTAAATTTTTTGTTTTTCAAAATGAAAAGTATGTAAAGTTTAAATAATATGAAAATGTAGTTAATTTTACACAATGTAATAATTTTTATAGCAAGTTTTACATTAAGTAAACATTTCCGTAATAAAATTTACATAACGAAAACTTTCATAAAAGTAAATTTTACATCATGTAAACATAACTAAATAAAACTTTACATTATGTAAACTTTACTTAAGAGCTGTATCATGTAAACTTTACTTCAAGTAAACTTCACTAAATAGATTTTTTTACTAGCAAGCAAATTTCACAAAATGAAAGTTTTAGCCATGTTAGCATTACTATAGAATGGTTTACATTAGGTAAAATTTACTAGATAACAGTTTACATCATGTAGACATTACTAAAGACTGAAAATTACATCGTGTATACTTGGCTAAAGTAAGGTTTATGTAATGTAAACTTTATTGTACGCTTTACATTATGTAAATTTTACTAAAACTAAGTTTACTTAATGTAAAATTTGCTACTGAAAAGTTTACATTATGTAAATGTTATTTTAGAACATATTACATCATGTAAACTTAAGTAATGTTTAGTTTACATCTCGTAAACATTGTTATTGAAAAGGTAAATAATACTATAGAATAGTTTACACCATGTAAATTTAACTATAGATTATTTTAAATCATGTAAACAATAGTAAATAATAATGGTTTACATTACGTAAACAATACTATAGAATAGTTTGATGTATCATGTAAACAATGTTCTAGAGTAATTTGCATCATGTACGCAATACTATAGAATAGTTAACATTAGGTAAACTATACTGTAGTATAGCTATCATTATGTAAACAATACTATAGACTAGTTTACATAATGTAAACAATGCTATAGAATAGTTTTCATCATGGAATTAATACTGTAGATTTGTTTACCTTAGGTAAACAATACTATTGAATATTTTACATCATGTAAACGATACTATAGTATAGTTTACATTATGTAAACAATATAATAGACTAGTTTAAATAACGTAAAATTTATTAAGGACAATAGTAAAGAGTAGTTTACATCATGTAAACATTACTATAGATACTGTAAAGTAGTTTACCTTAGGTAAACAATACTATTGAATAGTTTACATCATGTAAACAATGTAATAGAATAATTTACATCATGTGCACAATACTATAGAATAGTTAACATCATTTAAACTATACTATAGTATAGCTTACTTTATGTAAACAATACTATAGACTAGTTTACATAATGTAAACAATGCTATAGAATAGTTTACATCATGGAAACAATACTGTAGATTTGTTTACCTTAGGTAAACAATACTATTGAATAGTTTACATCATGTAAACGATCGTTAGTAAGTGTACATTATGTAAACTATACAATAGACCAGTTTACATAATGTAAAATTTATTAAGGACAATAGTAAAGAATAGTTTACATCATGTAAACAATAGTATAGAATAAATCACTTTATGTAAACCAAGCTATAGAATAGTTTACATCCTGAAAACAATACTATAGAATAGTTTACATCATGTAAACAATACTATTGAATAGTTTACAGAATTTAAACAAAGGTATAGAATAGTTTTTATAATGAAAAGAATGCTATAAAACAATTTACATCATGTAAACAATTCTATTGAATGGTTTACATAACTTAAACAATGTTATAGAATAGTTTACATCATGAAAACAATACTGTAGAGTAGTTTACATTATGTAAACAATAGTATAGAATAGGCTACATCATGTAAACAATACTATAGAATAGTTAACATCATGTAAACAAAGCTATAGAATAGTTTACATCATGTAAAAAAAGCTATAGAATAGTTTACATCGTGTAAACAATGCTATAGAATAATTTACAATACGTAAACAATACTAAATAATAGTTTACATCAAGAAACTTTACTAAAGAAATATTTACATCATGTAAACCTCATTATAGAATACTTTACATCATGTAAACTATACAAATGAAACGTTTTAATTACGTAAACAATTCTATAGAATATTCTACATCATGTAAAAAAGGCTATGTTATAGTTTACGTCATGTTAAATTCCATAAAGAATTGCTTACATCATGTCAATTTTACCAATGAAAAATGTACATCTTGTAAATTTTACTATAAAATAGTTTACATCAAGTCAAAAGAGCAATACATATTATGTCAAACTTACTAAATAAAGCAGAAATCATGAAAAATCTACTAAAGAAAAGTTGACATCATGTAAACTTTGCTAATGAAAAGTTTGACAACATGTAAAGTTTTCTAAAACAAAAAATAAAAAAAAAAAATATTTACATTGATTTGCCCTTCTTGAAATATTTCGTAGTTATAAATAAAACAACAAACCGATATTAACTTCCTTTTAAAAGAAACCCTAACCAAAAAGAAAAAGTTTTTCTATTTTAAGAAGGTAGTAACAAAAAAGCAACAACAACAAAACAGTTAAAATAAATTTAAAATTCCCCACAGGTAATGCAAAAAATTCTTATTAGTTTTTGCACAAAAAAGCATTAAACTTTTCCCCTCAAAAGACCCTTTTTTACAAATTATTTAAGTCTTTTAGAAAACGTGTTTTTACTTAAATTATTTGTATTAATTATAATTAAAAAACAAATAAATTACAATAACGCTCAACTACCTAAAGAGAAATCGAAAAAGAATAATTCTAACTATTACTTAATTTTAAAAGCATAAAAACGCAAATTCTAAATGAAAAATGAACTTACCATCATGTGACACCAACGACACGTGAGTCCTGTAATGCCATGATACGCTTTAATACGTTTACGACATTTCGAACAACGACCATAACAGTTGCCTTCCACCCAATGATGCAGTAGATCACCGCCGCCCTTGACCTTTTTCGATTTGACATATGTTGTTATACAAGATGCTGGAGCATGTTGAACGCAACGCTCATGTACTGTATACTTGCATACTTTATAATGTCCAAGGTATATGCAGACACACACAAACACACACACCACATGCACACCGTTATATGTACATTTATTTTAGTATGTCAGTTGTAAGAAGAAGAAGAAGTACATGAAAATTGATGAAGAAAAGAGTGAAAAAAAATAAAATTAATGAAAATTTTATGAAAAAACACTGTCATCTGCAAGAAGAGAAATATTGATGAAGAGTTAAAAACGAGGAGAAAATATTGGATTAGGATTTTGTTTAGAACTTTGATGGAATCTAAGGATGGATTCAATTCAATCTTTGATGGATTCAATTGAGAGATTTATTGGGTTAGTGTCAGTAGACTTTGAAATCGATTCTGCTCTATTTGTCTTACTTTTTATATTCAATAATATTTGAGTTTGAAAATATCATTCCAAAATAGGTCCTATACTGACTTCTAAATCTGAATTTTGTACTAATATTTAACTAGACATTGGATTTTTCGCTAGAAATCTGAAATCTCATTTCACTCTAGAAATCTGATTTCTAATCAGAAATCCTCTTTCTCACTAGAAATCCGATTTCTGACTACAAGTTTGATTTCTGAATAGAAATTCTATTTTTTAGAGAAATCAGATTTCTATTAAAAGTAGCTATTCTATATAATAGAGTATTTTTTAATAGAAGTTCGATTTCTGAATTGAAATTCGACTTTTTAGTAGAAGTTCGATTTCTTAATAGAAATCGTATCTCTCATTAGAAATCCGATTTCTCATTACATCTGCAATTTCTCATTATAAATCCGACTTCTCATTAGAAACACGACTTCTTAATAGAAATTAGATTTCTTATTGGAAATCCGATTTCTTATTAGAAATCTGACTTTTTAATAAAAATCCAATTTCTTAATAGAAATTCGATTTCTTACCAGAAATATGATTTCTTAATGGAAATCCGATTTCTTAATAGAAATCTGATCCGATTTCTTAATAGAAATCTGATTTCTTAATGGAAATCCGATTTCGTAGTGGAAATCCGATTTCTTAATAGAAATCCGACTTCTTAATAGAAATCCGATTTCTTACTAGAAATCTGATTTCTTAATGGAAATCCGATTTCTTAATAGAAATCCGATTTCCTTATAGAAATCCGATTTCTTAATAGAAATCCAATTTCTTAATAGAAATCCAATTTCTTAATAGAAATCCAATTTCTTAATAGAAATCCAATTTCTTAATAGAAATCCAATTTCTTCATAGAAATCCGATTTGTTACTAGAAATCCGAAATCAATAAACTTCTATTTCTAATTTTTCATTTAAAATGCAAATTTTCACTAAAAGTTAAAAATTTCACTGAAAATGCAAATTTTTCACTAAAAATCAAACTTTCACTAAAAATCCAAATTTTCACAAAAAATCCAAATTTTCACTAAAAATCCAAATTTTCAGTAAAAATCCAAATTTTCGCTAAAAATCCAAACTTTCACTAAAAATCCAAAATTCTCACTAAAAATCCGAACTTTCACTAAAAATCCAAACTTTCATTAAAAATATAAATTTTCATTAAAAATCCAACTTTTCACTAAAAATCCAAATTTTCACTAAAAATTAAAAATTTTACTAAAAATTAAAAATTTCACTAAAAATTCAAATTTTAACTAAAAATGCAAATTTTTCACTAAAAATCCAAATTTTCACTAAAAATTCAAATTTTCACAAAAAATCCAAATATTCACTAAAAATCGAAATTTTCACTAAAAATCCAAATTTTCACTAAAAATCCAAATTTTTAAAATGTCAAAATGAAGTTTTTATAATATTTATATTAAAGTACATACATATTTAAAAATTCTTCCCTTTTAAACAATTTTCTAAGAAATTCACATAAAAAATGAATAATAAAATTTCACACTTACATACACAGCAGAGACCTTTTTTGCCCAAACCCACCAACATATTTAGGCAAAGATTACAATATGCAGGTTTTTTAAAATGTTTCAAACGCCAGACGTGTATGCCATCCTCCTTTAAAGCAGTACTATCGACACCTTGATAAGGAAATATAAAATGACAAAAAAATTTATAAAAGACAAACAAATAAGTGTTAAAAGGAAACAGAATTTTAAGTAATTTGCACAAATACATATGAAACTGACAGTCTCATCATTGAACACACACATACATAACATGGAAGTCAGCCTTTCACCTAACGTTAATGCAATTTCCCTAACAAAAATATAAAAGTGTTATATGCTTTGTGTCACTTAGAAAACAGCTTGTCACTTGCATATGTTGCTTTGATAAAATGAATACTTTTTTTTGGAGAAGGAATTGAAATACGGAAGGTAAAGAAACTATAAAACTAACTTAAATGTTACTTTAAGGTAAATAAATAGAAATAGAAATAAATGCAGTTTTTTCTTTCGTTTCGTTCTTTATTAAACCCAATAACAGTTAGTTTCAGAGTAAACAAGTTAAAGCAAGTACTTAATAACATGTTACAAGATGGCGTGAGTAAGTGCAAGGTAGTAGACACTTGTAAGTATGATTTAAAATGCTTATTTCCGGTTTAAACTACTATTTCCTTACATTTTTGCTTAGCTTTTTAGAAAGCACTATCCTTATAAGTGTGACTGTGATAATAAAGAGTAAATGTGTGCGTGTGTGAGTGAGTGTTAGTAACTTAACACTTAAAGTTCTCAGTAGTTCTGGAAATAGTCAATGTATCCATTTTATATTGTATTTTTTTTTTTAAATATTGGTTGTATGTTATAAATTGGTTATTTGATATGTCCCTGGTAATCTAATGGAAAGTCAGTCGTCAAAAGCGTAGAAACTTTAAGCTTATTTTCCTGTACTGCACTTTAACCTAGGAAAACCTTTAATTCGCTATAGTTATTCACAACTTCCGGGTTATTTTACACACAAACATAAAAATATGATGTTTTTTTACAAGACGTACTTACATACATACATATGTATGTAACTATTTGCATTATATACATACCTAATAGTACTAGTAAAGGTATCGTTGTCATGCCGCCACGTTGCCATTCTTCTAAGGAAACAGTGCCATCGGCATCATAGTCAATTTCTACCATCATATCTTGAAGTATCTGAAAAATTACACACACACATACACAGAAAACGTGAAATTGTATTAGTATGTATGGTAGGAAATGCTTAAAAGAGATTGTCAAGAGAAGTATGTAACTATACTTCTTAGAAATAAAGAAAAAAAACATCCTATAAGAAATGTAATAAAAATTTAGAGAGGGATGAAATTACAAATATAAAAGTGCCACTTGAAAATCTTTAACCAGATTTACTGAGCAATCATAATTTAATGTTGTTAGTATATCGCAAAAAAAAAAAGAAAAATATAATACATTTTTAAGATTTCTTCAATAATATAGAGAAAATTTATAGAACATAAAGTGTTTTCTTAAAGCAAAAGTTTCTAATTTTCACTAAAAGAAAAACAAATTTTTTCACTAAAGAATCAGATTTCGCATTAAAAATTCAATAGTTGATATACTAGTCCATATACTTGTTTATAGGCCATAGTGTAATTTATAGACTAGTTCATAGACTAATTTATATACTAGTTCATAAAGTGGTCCATAGACTAGACTAGTCCATAGACTAGTTTATAGACTAGTCCATAGATTAGTTTATAGATTAGCCCATAGACTAGTTTATAGATTAGCCCATAGACTAGTTTATAGACTAATCCATAGACTAGTTTAAAGACAGTCCATAGACTAGTTTATAGACTAGTCCATAGACTAGTTTAAAGACAGTCCATAGACTAGTTTATAGACTAGTCCATAGACTAGTTTATAGACTAGTTTATAGACTAGTCCATAGACTAGTTTATAGACTAGTCAATAGACTAGTTTATAGACTAGTCCATAGACTAGTTTATAGACTTTTCCATAGACTAGTTTATAGACTTTTCCATAGACTAGTCCATAGACTAGATGATGGACTAGTTGATAGACAAGTCCATAGTTGATAGACTAATCTATAGAATAGTTCATTAACTGGTTGACAGACTAATTTATAGACTAGTCCATAGACTAGTTGATAGACTACTTGATAGACTAGTCCGTAGACTAGTTGATAGACTAGTCCATAGACTAGTTGAAAGACTAGTTTATAGACTAGTTGATAGACAAGTTTATAGACTAGTCCATAGACCTATATAGACTAGTTGATAGACTAGTTCATAGACTAGTCCATAGACTAGTTCATAGACTAGTCCATAGACTAGTTTATAGACTAGTTTACAGACTAGTTGATAGACTAGTCCATAGACTAGTTGATAGACTAGTCCATAGACTAGTTGATAGACTAGTCCATAGACTAGTTGTTAGACTAGTCCATTGACTAGTTGATAGACTAGCCCATAGACTAGTTGATAGACTAGTCCATAGACTAGTTGATAGACTAGTCCAAAGACTAGTTGATAGACTAGTCCATACAGTAGTTGATAGACTAGTCCGTAGACTAGTTGATAGGCTAGTCCATACAGTAGTTGATAGACTAGTCCGTAGACTAGTTGATAGACTAGTTCGTAGACTAGTTGATAGGCTAGTCCATAGACTAGTTGATAGGATAGTTCATAGACTAGTTGATAGACTAGTCCATAGACTAGTTGAAAAACTAGTCCATAGACTAGATGATAGACTAGTCCATAGACTAGTTGATAGACTAGTCCATAGAGTAGTTGATAGACTAGTCTACAGATTAGTTTATATACTACTTGATAGACTAGTTGATAGACTAGTCCATACAGTAGCTGATAGACTAGTCCGTAGAAAAGTTGATAGGCTAGTCCATAGACTAGTTGATAGGCTAGTCCATAGACCAGTTGATAGACTAGTCCATAGACTAGTTGATAAACTAGTCCATAGACTAGATGATAGACTAGTCCATAGACTAGTTGATAGACTAGTCCATAGAGTAGTTGATAGACTAGTCTACAGATTAGTTTATATACTACTTGATAGACTAGTTGATAGACTAGTCCATACAGTAGCTGATAGACTAGTCCGTAGAAAAGTTGATAGACTAGTTGATAGGCTAGTCCATAGACTAGTTGATAGGCTAGTCCATAGACCAGTTGATAGACTAGTCCATAGACTAGTTGATAAACTAGTCCATAGACTAGATGATAGACTAGTCCATAGACTAGTTGATAGACTAGTCCATAGAGTAGTTGATAGACTAGCTCATAGACTAGTTGATAGACTAATCCATATACTAGTTGATAGACTAGTCCATATATTAGTTGATAGTCTGGTACATAGATTAGTTGATAGACTGGTACATAGACTAGTTATAGACTAGTCCATAGACTAGTTAATAAACTAGTCCATAGACTAGTTAATAAACTAGTCCATAGACTAGTTAATAGACTAGTCTATAGACTAGCTGATAGACTAGTCAATAGACTAGCTGGTAGACTAGTATATAGACTAGCTGATAGACTAGTCTATAGACTAGTTGGTAGACCAGTTGATATACTAGACTCCATGATAGACTAGTTGATAGACTAGTTCATAGATTAGTTGATAGACTTATCCATAGACTAGTTGATAGACTAGTCCATAGACTAGTTGATAGACTAGCCCATAGAAGTTGATAGACTAATAAATAGACTCCATGATAGACTAATCCATAGACTAGTTGATAGACTAATCCATAGATAGATAGACTAGTTGATAGATTAGTCTGTATACTAGTTGATAGACTAAATCATAGACCAGATATATGGTTTATATAACCGACATGGGTGCATATACGAAATCTCTGTGCCCCATCACTGCCTCAGAACTATATAAATCAAAATTTTTTCTTTTTCAAATTATTTGCAAATTCATTAAAACCATTACAGTTTAATTGTTATATACATTTTCATACTTGTCATTATTCATTATTTAATTATTATACTACATAATAGTTAGTTCTCTTCAAACTAAATTTAGTCATTTAACTAAGTGATGATGCATCACTTTCGTTTACCTTGTTAAAAGTGATGATAATAAACATTTCAAAATGTTAAATATTTGTCATAAAGTTTGTGAGACAGAGACTAACTATTTTCCGGAAAATCTCTGCTTGTTTAGCAAATATAAATAAATATAAAATTGACTATAATATTTAGGTTTATTACGACAAACAACTCTCCAGATGAAAGGGACTCTGAAGGAAAAATTCCACAAAAATAAAAGCAAATGTTGTAATTTGTTTGTGGTTGAAACAATAAGAATAATTTAGATTTAAGTATAAAGATTTCTATACTATAGTAATAATGTTTCCCAGCAAACATAAGATTTATGATTATCAGTCTGGTTTCAAAATCTTTTTCAAACGTTTTTAAAATTTAACCTTGATGTTCAAAATCATTATTAATTTTGTTTAAAACTTAGGTGCTTGCTGGGTTACTAGCTTAGTGACGTGTAGAGAGAAATAAACTTACAGTTTTGTTGTTTTTGCACGGAAAATATCAAGGACATTTTATTTATTTATTCATTTCTTTTATGTTTCAATAGCAACGCTAAGGGAATTTTCACATCTTTACAGAATATAAGCCATGAACATAAAAACAAATAAGAAAGTTTTATGTCCGACACTTTCGATACCCTACAACTATAATTGTGGACTTAAGTCGATTATGCCTAATCCATGAACTAGTTAAGAGACAACATTGTACACTAGTCCACTGAAGAGTTCATAAAATCGTTCATAGACTAGTTTAGAGATTACTCCAGATACTAATCTAGAGATTAGTTCAGAGACAAGTCGATAGACTGCTCTATAGACTAGTCCATAGACTAATCTATAGACCAATTTAGAGACTAATCCATAGACTTGTCCAAAGGCTAATTTATAGGCTAGTCAATAGACTAATTTACAGTCGAGTTCAGAGACTTCATAAGAGACTAGTCCAAAGACCAGCACAGAGTTCAGAGAGTAGTCCATCGACTGGTCCATATACTAGTTTATAAAATAGTCCATTGACTTGGCCAGAGACTAGTCCAAAGACTAATCAATAGATCTGTTTAGAGATAGACTTGTCCTGAGTCTAGTCCACTGACTATTCTATAGACTAGTCCAGGGGTTAATCTATAATAAGAGTTCAGAGACAAATCTATAAATCTGTACAGATACTAATCTGTAGATCGGTTCAGAGACAAATCTATAGACCAGTCTATAGACTTATCTATAGATCAGTTCATAGACTTGTCCGGAGACTAGTCCAGAGACCAGCCCACAGTCTATTACGTAGACAAATCTATAGAGTATTCCAGGGGTTACCCTATAGACTAGTCAGTTGACTAATCTATAGACCAGTCCATAGATTAATTTATAGACCAGTTCAGAGACTAATCTATAGATCAGTTCTGAGACTTAGAGACTAATATATTAATCAGTTCAGAGATCAATCTATAGATCGGTACAGAGACTAATATGAATCATTTCAGCGAGTCCATAGACTAATCTAACGACCACTTCTGAGACTAATCTATAGATCAGTTCAGAGACGAATCTATAAATCAGTTTGGAGATTAATCTATAGTCCACTTCAGAGACTTGTCCACAGACTTATTAACAGACTAATGCATAGACTAGTCTAGCGACTTTTTCTCTATTCTAATCAATATTATTAGTAGTCGATTCCGAAAATTTCCCTTTCCCGATTCTTTTGGGATAGGTATAGTATTATTATTATTTTGGTGTTTAACAAATACCTGCACAAACTCTTAATATGCCTTCCCCCGCCATAGTGTTATAGGGTATTAAAACAACAAAACAGTTTCCAAACAACTACAAATAAATATCCATGGAGAATGTTTGTACGAAAGAGGGTGTAATATGAATAATATGTAAAAGTAGCAATATTACTTGTACTTAGTTCCAGTATAGCAACCCAATAATATACTGTTAGACGTAGAGTCAGGGATGGAAGATTGCATATGATGTAAAAGTGAATTAAAAAAAATCTAATTTTTAAGAAATCTATAATTTTCTTAAAACACTATATAGAACCACACTGTCTATAAATTACTTTATAAAAATTAATTGCTTGAGTGAACCAACTTTATATTTGTTTTTTTTATAAATTTCCTTTTATATATTTGAATAAAAAAACCTTAAGTTTTACTTTATGGTTGACTGTGGCAGAGGATTATAAGGTAGAAACGATACTTTTGTATATGCAACAGCTTGACTACTTAAGCAGCGAGCACTCTTATTAAGGTGAAAGAAGTCTTAAAAAACTTGTGTGAAAATGTTTAAATATTTACTGCCACTCAAAGATCTCTCATGTTATTTATTCGTTTATTTATTTATAAGGTGGCAGGGTTTCCTTTTAAGAAACTGTTGCATATAGAACGAAAGACAGTGAGAGAAAAGGTATTAAAGTGTTTTCTGAAGTAAATCAGTTATGGTTTTTATTTTGAAGTAAGTTTTTCAATTCAAAACAATCTACTATTTAATCCATAAAACATTGTAATTTAATATACAACACCATTTCCAGATTGTATTTAAAAAAGTTTTTGATTACAATTTCAATTTAGAATTTAAAATTTTTGTAAGATATTTGAAAATTCATAAAATATTTCTGAAAGTTTCTGAAATACAATTGAACATTTCTGAAATTTTATAAGAAATGGTGTTGTATCTTATATAGCTTAAGACCAAGGTGTTAAATTGATACCAATGTAAATGTAATGATGTAATACTAGTTGACTAAAGATTACCCAACAAACATGAACGATTAAACTCAAATTTAGTATTATTTGGTATTAAAATCTTTCACAAAAGTTTTGAATATAATGAAAAAATTTTTTGAAAAAAATTTATATAACTTTTGCTGTTAAAAAGTTAAATTATAAAATTTTAAAATTTTTTGTTTACTTGGTCTATATAGTATGTGTGGAACACACCCACCTATCTTTTTTTTTCATATTATGACATGACTTACAAGATTTTAATTTATTTCATTCTCCTGCCTGAAAAAACAATTTGTTTAATATAAATGGTTTCTTAATCAAAGTTATTTATATGTATGGGGAATTTCAAGTTGAAGTTATTTATTGGCAGGAAGAAGATAAAGAAAAATATTTTGCAAGAAAATTAAACCTTAAAATATGATGCATTTCTTTTGACGTTTAACTACAACAGTTAATCAAATCTAAACTAAAAGAAAGCGGTTGATTTTCAAACTTTTGTTAACTGGATATCCCACTCATTTTCGAAATTTCTATTTAAAAGCTCCTTTTTGATTAAGTATTAGCTTATTTAAATAATCGTGACTGTTTTCAAAATTTTTCATTTTTGTTTTGGCTTAAAAGAAAACCTATAGTTGCCAACAAATAGAAAACATGAAAGACTTTCTGACCTACCCAAAAAGGGAATGAAAGGGCATTTTTAATTACACACCTAATTAAACCTACAAAAACCTACACTTTGTATATAATTAAAGGTAAATTAGTAGAGAAAAAAAAAAAAACAAACTAAATCTAATTAACTTTTGAAGATGAAATTATAAGAAAAACTTTTAAATAAAAAGTAATACAAATAACAGTTCATAACCTTTAGACCTTGGAATTGATCTTGTGTAAGCTATGGACTACTCTAGAGACTACACTATAGATTAGCCTATGACCTACTCTATAGACTTGTCTATTGACTACTGTATAGACTAGTCCATGGCCTACTCTGTAGACTAGTCTATAAACTAGTCTATGGACTAATCTATAGGCTAGTCTATGGACTACTCTATGAACAACTCTATTAACTACGCTATAGACTAGTCTGTGGACCAAGCTATAGACTAGTCTATGGACCAAGCTATAGACTAGTCTATGGACCACGCTATAGACTAGTCTATGGACCAGGCTATAGACTAGTCTATGGACCAAGCTATAGACTAGTCTATGGACCACGCTATAGACTAGTCTATGGACCAGGCTATAGACTAGTCTATGGACCACGCTATAGACTAGTCTATGGACCACGCTATAGACTAGTCTATGGACCACGCTATAGACTAGTCTATGGACTACGCTATAGACTAGTCTATGTACTACTCTGTAGTATAGTCCATGGACTACTCTTTAAACTAGTCTATTGATTACTTTATAGACTAGTACATAGAATACTCCATTCACTAGTCTATAAACCAGTCTATGGACTAGTCTTTAGACTATCCCATGGACTACTCTATAGACTAGTCTATGAACTAATCCATAAATTAGTCTATGTACTAATCTATAGATATTTACTAGTCTATGGTCTCTAGTCTATGAACTACTCGTTAGATTAGTTTATGGTCTACTTTACAGATTAGCCTTTTTGCTAATCTATAGATCAGTCTATGGAATAATCTTAAGACCAGCCCATGGACTACTCTATAGATAAGTCTATGCTCTACACTATAGATTAGTCTATGGCCTACTCTATAGACTAGTCTATTGACTACTGTATAGACTAGTCTATTGACTACTGTATAGACTAGTCTATTGACTACCTATAGACTAGTCTATGGACTACTCTCTAGACTTCGCTATAGAGTACGCTATAGACTAATATATGGACTATGCTATAGACTATTCTATAGTGTAGTCCATAGAATAGTCTATGGACTACTCAATAGACTAGTCTATAGCATAGTCCATAGAATCGTCTGTGGACTACTCTATAGACTAGTCTATGGACTACTCCATAGAATAGTCTATGAACTACTCTATAAACTAGTCAGTCTACAGACTATAGACTAGTCTATGAACTACACTACAGAATAGTGTATGGACTACACCATAGACTAGTCTATGGACTAGTCTATGAACTACATTATATAATAGTTTATGGACTACTCTATAGACAAGTATATGTACTATTCTATAGACAAGTCTATGGACTACTCTATAGACAAGTCTGTGAACTACTCTATGGACTACTCTATAGACTAGTCTATGGACTACTCCATTGAATAGTCTATGAACTACTCTATAGACTATTCTATGGACTACTATACAGACTAGTCTATGGACTACTATATAGTCTATGGACCACTCTATAGATTAGTCTATAGACTATTCTATGGACTACTCAATAGACTATTCTATGAACTACTCTATGGACTAGTAGACTCTATAAATTAGTATGTGGACTTGTTTATGGGCTACTCTATGGACCTGTCTATTGTCAAGTCTATTATATATTAACAATCCATTATATACATAATCACTATTTTATAATTTCATCCTTTAAATCTAAATTTTAATACCGAAAAAGTTTAATACAAATATTGAAAAATTACACACTTACCGGTCTTAATTCACTAACATCCCAACCCAAATATTCAGCAACAGCCATCATTTGATTAACAATAGCATCCATTTCAGCGGTATCCAAAACACCATTGCCATCCGTATCATACAAACGGAACATGACTAAATTGAGAGCAATAAAAATAAAACACATAATTAAATTAATATTAAAAAAAATATATAAAAAAACCATAAACAAAATTTTTGCCCCCCCAAAAATATGCAAATAAATTTTTCTTTGTATTTGCCATAAAATATGCAGCAGATAAATTAAATTAATTCAACTTAAAATATGCAAAATTTTTCCTTTGATATGTATATGTATTTATGTATTTCACTAATAAATTTAATATTGATTTTTTTTAAATAAAATATGTGTTATTTTTTTATTCAACTTACACTCCAATTTGTCTTCTGGCCGTCCAGCTTCTAACAATGATAAATAACATACCACATCCTTAAGGGACACTTTTAATGTTAAAGGATCAAAATGTGAAAGTTTGCGTGTTAATAATTTAATATCCGCTGAAAATAAATGAAAAAAATAATTTATATATATATAATAATGAGGTAGTTTGTGGAAAATGTTAATAATGTATATTATTAATTATAAGGTTTTTAACATTTATACTACATGTACATGCAGATTAAGGTGGTTTAGTTTTTATAACATTAATTATTATATACAATTTGAAAATTTCTAGGAGTAATGATATTTCCTTTCTCTAATTTTGACTGAATAGGTTTCTATACAATGTATTTGCAAAGTTCACAATGATCCGAACCATACATAAACATACATAATTTAACAATAAATGCTTGCTTATGTAAACATTTATTATACGTGTTAAAGTTTACATAAAACTGATGTAATAAATTAATTAATCATAACTAAAACACGCACATAATATATTTAATACATCAACAACTTTTTACATACTTGATTAATATTGTAATTAAAATACAACAAACACACAACAGTACTAGAACAGAACTAGAAAACAACCAGAAAAAAACTAGAAAAAAAACTAGAAAAGAACTAGAAAAGAACTAGAACAGAACTATAACTGAACTAGCATTGTACTAGAACTGAACTAGAACTGAACTAGAATTGTACTAGAACTGAACTAGAACTGAACTAGAACTGAACTAGAACTGAACTAGAACTAAACTAGAACTAACTAACTAGAACTGAACTAGAACTGAACTAGAACTGAACTAGAACTGAACTAGAACTGAACTAGAACTGAACTAGAACTGAACTAGAACTGAACTAGAACTGAACTAGAACTGAACTAGAACTGAACTAGAACTGAACTAGAACTGAACTAGAACTGAACTAGAACTGAACTAGAACTGAACTAGAACTGAACTAGAACTGAACTAGAACTGAACTAGAACTGAACTAGAACTGAACTAGAACTGAACTAGAACTGAACTAGAACTGAACTAGAACTGAACTAGAACTGAACTAGAACTGAACTAGAACTGAACTAGAACTGAACTAGAACTGAAACTAGAACTGAACTAGAACTGAACTAGAACTGAACTAGAACTGAACTAGAACTGAACTAGAACTGAACTAGAACTGAACTAGAACTGAACTAGAACTGAACTAGAACTGAACTAGAACTGAACTAGAACTGAACTAGAACTGAACTAGAACTGAACTAGAACGAACTAGAACTGAACTAGAACTGAACTAGAACTGAACTAGAACTGAACTAGAACTGAACTAGAAACTGAACTAGAACTGAACTAGAACTGAACTAGAACTGAACTAGAACTGAACTAGAACTGAACTAGAACTGAACTAGAACTGAACTAGAACTGAACTAGAACTGAACTAGAACTGAACTAGAACTGAACTAGAACTGAACTAGAACTGAACTAGAACTGAACTAGAACTGAACTAGAACTGAACTAGAACTGAACTAGAACTGAACTAGAACTGAACTAGAACTGAACTAGAACTGAACTAGAACTGAACTAGAACTGAACTAGAACTGAACTAGAACTGAACTAGAACTGAACTAGAACTGAACTAGAACTGAACTAGAACTGAACTAGAACTGAACTAGAAACTGAACTAGAACTGAACTAGAACTGAACTAGAACTGAACTAGAACTGAAACTAGAACTGAACTAGAACTGAACTAGAACTGAACTAGAACTGAACTAGAACTGAACTAGAACTGAACTAGAACTGAAACTAGAACTGAACTAGAACTGAACTAGAACTGAACTAGAACTGAACTAGAACTGAACTAGAACTGAACTAGAACTGAACTAGAACTGAACTAGAACTGAACTAGAACTGAACTAGAACTGAACTAGAACTGAACTAGAACTGAACTAGAACTGAACTAGAACTGAACTAGAACTGAACTAGAACTGAACTAGAACTGAACTAGAACTGAACTAGAACTGAACTAGAACTGAACTAGAACTGAACTAGAACTGACTAGAACTGAACTAGAACTGAACTAGAACTGAACTAGAACTGAACTAGACTGAACTAGAACTGAACTAGAACTGAACTAGAACTGAACTAGAACTGAACTAGAACTGAACTAGAACTGAACTAGAACTGAACTAGAACTGAACTAGAACTGAACTAGAACTGAACTAGAACTGAACTAGAACTGAACTAGAACTGAACTAGAACTGAACTAGAACTGAACTAGAACTGAACTAGAACTGAACTAGAACTGAACTAGAACTGAACTAGAACTGAACTAGAACTGAACTAGAACTGAACTAGAACTGAACTAGAACTGAACTAGAACTGAACTAGAACTGAGCTAGAACTGAACTAGAACTGAACAAGAACTGAACTAGAACTGAACTAGAACTGAACTAGAACTGAACTAGAACTGAACTAGAACTGAACTAGAACTGAACTAGAACTGAACTAGAACTGAACTAGAACTGAGCTAGAACTGAACTAGAACTGAACTAGAACTGAACAAGAACTGAACAAGAACTGAACTAGAACTGAACAAGAACTGAACTAGAACTGAACTAGAACTGAACTAGAACTGAACTAGAACTGAACTAGAACTAGCTTTTTTTTAATTTCAAATAATTTTTGTACTTAATTTTAATTTTGAACCGTATGTATAATAAAGACGTTCTAAAGTAATCATTTCTTTATCAAAAAAGAAGGTTTTTAGCAGTCACACTTTTTCGACGAATATTTTTTTAAGTATGAACACACTATAAGTAGTTAAAGAGTTATAAAACGAAGCTAAAGTTCAATCTGATAATTTTTATGAATTTAATATTTTAAACATTTAATAATTTATTATTTAATTAGTTTTAGTATTTTTCTTTTTGAAGTTTTATGTCACAATAATTTATTTATAAGGACAATTCGCTCAAAAGTTGTACACAGTTTCCCCCAGAAAAATAATAAAAAGAAAAATATTTACTTACAGCTACTTGACAAAAACTTTTGAAATAAAGTTATTATTGCCTTAAGAAGAAGATACAGAGATGCAAAAAAACTTTATTACATAAACTTCTTTCAAAAAAATATACAAAAACATTAAATGTCAAAAAAACCAAGTGATAATAAAAAGAAAGTAGTGCGCAACTATAAAATGCCCTACAATTGTCCGTGTTAATACATAGTATTCCTGATCTGGCAAGTTTTTTTCGGAAACCCTTTGCTCGTCCTTAGCACATTGCACACGTATGTATTTTGAGTCCCGAACTTTAAACAGAAAATTTACAAACACTTTTTTATATTTTTTAATGTAGGGACTTCAACAAAAAACAAGTCTTTTTTAAGATAAATAAAAATCTTAATTACACTAAAAATCCTTTTTGACTTTGTAAGCTATAATTGTATTTTGCTGAAAGATATAAAAGTGGAACAAATACTTAGAAAATCTAACAGCTCGAGGAGTAAAACTTTTAAGTTCTTTTTTGTTTTGTTAACATAAAAGTACAATAAAAATGAAATTACAGACTACGTATTTTACATAAAGGATGAGCTTCTGGTAGTTCAAAGATTACTAACAAATGTTTTCCTATTTGTAAGAAAACATTTTGTAATAAATTAAAATTTGTTAAAAAATTTTGTTTTGTTTTAATCACATTGCATTTAAAATGAATTACTTTTATCATGCTTTACTTTGTACTTTTGTATTGCGTTTGTAATCTATATGATAATTTTATGTTTTTATTGTAAGTTAACGAAAAACATATTTACTTATTTTACATAAGTACAATGTACGTATAAGTTAAAAGTAAAAAATCGTTAATTTACGATATAAAACAAATTAATAAAAATGCCTGTTACAATTCATCGAAGCGATAGATATGTAGATAGATAGATAGATAGATAGATAGATAGATAGATAGATAGATAGATAGATAGATAGATAGATAGATAGATAGATAGATAGATAGATAGATAGATAGATAGATAGATAGATAGAAAGATAGATAGAAATAGATATATAGATCTAGTCTATTCTATAGTCTAGTCTATAGTCTAGTTTATAGTCTAGTCTATAGTCTAGCCTATAGTCTAGCCTATAGTCTAGTCTATAGTCTAGTCTATAGTCTAGTATAGTCCAGTCTATAGTCTAGTCTAGTCTATAGTCTATAGTCTATAGTCTATAGTCTAGTCTAGTCTAGTCTAGTCTAGTCTAGTCTAGTCTAGTCTACAGTCTAGTCTATAGTTTAGTCTATAGTCTAGTCTATAATCTAGTCCCTAGTCTAGTCTATAGTCTAGTCTATAGTCTAGTCTATAGTCTAGTCTATAGTTTAGTCTATAGTCTAGTCTATAGTCTAGTCTATAGTCTAGTCTATAGTCTAGTCTATAGTCTAGTCTATAGTCTAGTCTATAGTCTAGTCTATAGTCTAGTCTATAGTCTAGTCTATAGTCTAGTCTATAGTCTAGTCTATAGTCTAGTCTATAGTCTAGTCTATAGTCTAGTCTATAGTCTAGTCTATAGTCTAGTCTATAGTCTAGTCTATAGTCTAGTCTATAGTCTAGTCTATAGTCTAGTCTATAGTCTAGTCTATAGTCTAGTCTATAGTCTAGTCTATAGTCTAGTCTATAGTCTAGTCTATAGTCTAGTCTATAGTCCAGTCTATAGTCTAGTCTATAGTCTAGTCTACAGTCTAGTCTATAGTCTAGTCTATAGTCTAGTCTATAGTCTAGTCTATAGTCTAGTCTATAGACTAGTCTAGTCTATAGTCTAGTCTATAGTCTAGTCTATAGACTAGTCTAGTCTATAGTCTAGTCTATAGTCTAGTCTATAGTCTAGTCTATAGTCTAGTCTATAGTCTAGTCTATAGTCTAGTCTATAGTCTAGTCTATAGTCTAGTCTATAGTCTAGTCTATAGTCTAGTCTATAGACTAGTCTAGTCTATAGTCTAGTCTATAGACTAGACTATAGACTATAGTCTAGTCTATAGTCTAGTCTATAGACTAGTCTAGTCTATAGTCTAGTCTATAGACTAGACTATAGACTAGACTATAGACTAGACTATAGACTAGACTATAT